GGTGGATAGTGTTTGCATAAAAAATTTGATGCTGCAACGGTACCACTCACATACCGAGAAGGGATGTCATCATAGATGACATGAAAAATAGTATCATGTTTACGTCTATGAAATTGGTGGATGGCGTCCATTAGATCCTTATACGCGAATGGGATATCTAAAATGCACCAGTAAGCACACCGAGCAGTATGCTACGGGAGTGACGGTGATGCCACAAGGTGAACGCAATACCACTTCTATACTTTAACGGACGTGTAGCAAAACTTATAAAATTTCTGCGAGAATTATCGGCTGGTCACCTTGCTGATGTTTAGTCCATAGCCGGGCTATGGCAGAAGGAAGGATGTGAAGGCGAGACGAGTCTATGTCTGGAAGGTCCTTAAACTTATACAAGCCTAATTTTTAATTCAATCTCAAAGGCGCATATTTATCTGCCTGCGATATACCACTACTTAAATAAACTGTGATTAGTCATGATCTACGTGCCTACAAAATAAGAGAAAGGACATCTACGACTGGCCGGATATTTTTAACTAATCAGCAATTTGAAATTTCCGTGGACTAGCGGCATGGTTGTACAATTTTTAGCACGATAACGCCGAGATAATTTTTATCCTTCGTTTTTGAATGATTATAAGTAAGTACGTAATACCGAACAAGATCCATCCTTCGTAGTATTCGAATTTTTTTTTATTCTATTGATAATTATAGAGAAAGCGGACCAAGACCGGTCAAATTACGTTGTCTGCAATGCCAGCATTTTTGCAATTGTCTTATCACTAATGAATTTCGATGCAGGCGGTGCGGAGAGCAACGTCTATATTTGATGCTTCATCTGCAACAGGATGCACAAATACAACTTAAAAAAAGGAAACCTTTTTAATGAAGTTTGCGTTTGTGTATTCTCATTAGGATATACACCCTTCGTCGTCTATATGGACTAAAGAGTATTCAAGCACGGCCGTAAATTGTTCAGAAGTCTCTAAACGAATAAAGAAGTGGCATTTATTATCTTTGGAGTTAGATTGACACGTAGAATTAGGTCAGGACAATGTAATATCGCCACTTACCCTCTCTCGCACCGCTACGAGTTCGAATTGACGACGAAACCCGGCAGTGGTGCAACCACTGTTGCGGCACCGACTTTTAGCTTCCCGTCGTTTATATTACTAGAAGATTTACAAAATACGCGTGATCCGGAGATTTTAAGTTTGAAATGTTATCGCTCTTGATCTATATTGAAAACCCTGAACGATTGTCGATCGCGTGCTGGTCCTCCTCAACTATGCAGGTTGCGACGGGTTAAAAATTTTCACCTGGTGCCGGCAATACGCCTCGTCTCGTCGTTTTAATAACTTTGATTCACGATTGCGTATCATTGACCAACTCCGCAACTCAGCTGTTTGTAAACATCGTGGATGCGAATACATACCTCTATCTGAGCTGAGACTTGTACTGTCCCCGCTAGTTTCAATTTGTGCGCAATTACGTTCGTGAATGCGATAATGTCAACAGGTGCAATCTTTCCTTCCATTCGTGCCTCGGTGCAGCCTATCCCACATCTAGCTGAGTGCTAGAAACGTAAAATCTGGTGAACTTCGGCTTCGTATTTTCCATTGGTATGCTTAAGAATGCGAGATTTTCGTTATATTTGACCGATACAGCAAGTTGGTACACCTGGTCGCTTAACCTATATAAAATTAACGCAACAGGTTGTGGTCGTGGCCTTTCCGACACAACGTGTCGTCTGTACGATCTGCCTCGTGGATCCGCAATTTGCAGCTTAGTTCTGTCGCTCTATGATTAAAAGACTCGATAATAACTATAATATGTCCCCATCTGACCCTATTGAACGAATGATCGGACGAAGCGCGCCAACTGTTTCATCGAAGAGATTCTGTAAGATTCTCTATATTATTTTGCGAATCGGAGCGAATTCTTGTCAATGGTGAAATTTGCCATTCACAACTTGGTGAATGCTTCGACAAAGCATACGCTGTTCCACGTGAATATTTTACACTATCCGTTTCTATCCACGTTTCCAAGAAAATTAAATCTTTGACAAGGTGGACACATAATTCTTTAAGCGAACACCAAATTAGCTCAAAGTCATTTCGTACTGACCGTAAAATCACTACGTATGATGCCGATGTCGATCGTATCGACTTCGATGTAGTAGAAGAAATATGCGTAATGAGGATTAAATGTTGCTGATACTCAGTAGATTAGCATCAAGCTTAACGAGTCCAAAGAAGCAATCAGTAAAGCGACAGCTCATGTTGATACAATTTACAATAGGATAATTGTAGAATAAGGTGGTGAGTCAGCAGATGAATTTTTACTGGCTCACGCTACAGGCTCCCTTTCGATCTACATATCATATGCGATAGATCGTTAAAAGCGAAACGCTTAAAAGATTGAAAAGTCAAACGGTGTTTGGTAAAACTAAGATAGCTTAGTCATTCCATCTACGATACCTACCAATGCACATAGTGACTTACGCTGGTCATAACTTATAGCTGCAGTATATCTCGTTTCATTTTGCGAGCTGTGCATATCAAATCGAACTGTCATGTTAGGTGAGCATGCGACTTACGTTCTACTTCTGTAGCCTCATTCCGTACTACCAGTATGGTGCTTTTCCGGTGTAGAAAGACTGTGAGCTATAGCGTCTTCAATTGATCTTGATGCTCACGAGGCTGATTGTGACAACTACTTGTAATCGCAAAGCTAATAAAAAAGATACTTGTACTCACAGTTTTTTTGCTTTACCCAGACGTCCAGCCACTATGTTGCTATGTGTCGTTGCCTGAAATGGTTTATCAAGTACGTATGGCACAAGTCGGCGTATGTCCTAAGACCGGTGGGGCAGTTCTGCAGCCACAATATTTTATAATGTAATAGTCATCATTAATGATGACTTCAAGCTACATCATCGTAAATACAGCCAGTCATTTAATCTTAAAGCAGATGCGACGAACGTCATGGAAGTAGCACTCTGCGGGAAGTTGCAATCGTTATCATATGCTTAGGGCACTTACTTGTAGCATGGCATTTCCTAAAGTATGAAGTTAGAGGTGAGTCATTTACGATGTTTTTTTATCTCTAATAATGCCTCGAGTTAATCCTCATACGCTCCAGAAAAGTCCCGCTCACACCGGTGATCACGTCGTCTTATGATGTATGTAAATCAGCTCTTCAGTTTACATGCAACACGGCTCTTGTAATCGTTCGGCTACAAATATGTTCGCGATGTGGTCGTAGCGGCTCAAAAGAACTCCAAATATTCGGTGGAATCGGGTTTCCTTTTTTTCAAAACAGCTTCACCTAACAGCTTCCAGCGATTTTAAATGCAGACCATGAGCGAATTTTCGGTGAAGATTGCTGCCATAGGATGTAACGATCAAAGAATTTATCACACTGTTTCCAGAGGTCAAGATACTACGTTCGGAGGACATACATGTCCAGGACGATAATGTTGTAGTCATACGTGTCATGTCATCGTGTCGTAGTGGAATTATATAACGGATGACTATATGTGCTCACATTTTATTATCCTGCTTGATGATACAATGAGCTCTGTACGATTTTAAAGTTTTCGGGAAAACGCAATCAGGTGTTTAATAGTAGAGATTCAATGTCGACGTAAAATTAATTTTGTGATTATGTACAATTGGAGGCTTTAACCAAGGTAATGTGACGCTCCAACTTATTCTCAGCATTTGTGGCATAACCCGGTACGACGTACGGGACAAGCCGAAGAAACGTATGCTAAATTTGAGTAATCTATGAAGTTTTCTTTCTATTACAATATATACAGCAGCAAGATATGGGCGTGTGCTCCAACGTCAATGCATGATCAACACCGAGGCGTACTAGATGCGAGTAATTTCGCGTTAAGCATACTATGGCTTCATGGCAGGTCAGCGCGCATGTGTCGTTACGAAATTTGCGGAGATGGTAATAGAGATGACCTTGGCGATGCTTTCCAACAAAATAGATATTGTGACGGTCGGGACCCGTAAGATAGGGGATTAGAATTTGAAGACGGCTTTTTAATTCAAAGATTAATTTAAATGTAGTACAGTATCAAACAGCAGTCATTAAATAATGAGGATGATGCTCGTAATGTCTGTTTTGACCTCGTACAGTATACTTGGGCAGCGCGAAATAGACTTGGTTAGGAGCTTCCAGCATTTCCTTACGTAATTATATTCACCTTTGCTCGATGTTTATCACGTGCGTACACCACAAAAGTGACCAAACCAAAGAGTGACAACTATTTGGTCTATCGATCTCTGAGGTGGGGCCGTTATGATTTAAATTAATTTTAGATGAAACGTTTTCTGACATTTTTGGAACGCATTTTAAAAAGGAGCGAGATACAATCGAATGTTCTTTACGGGTGCCGGGAAGGCGTTCACTGTTCAAATGTCAATCATTATCAACCTCGTTAATGCTAAATAATAGGATTGGAGAATGTTATTTAGTGATTATATATCGCGCAGCTGAATTGCCAAAAGGTCCTGTTCCTGCTGGCTCAAAGTCGTCGAGCAGTAGATCAACAGGTTAGATGTCACCTATTCAGTTTTACTGCTCCATCATCGCCGTTATAGCGTCGCACTATCAGTAACATCTCGTTGTCAAGTAGTCCAATTCCAACCTGGGCAACTCAGTTCCGAAGGTCGGCGATGAAGTACTACCATGCTCTGACGATTCAAGGGCAAAATACCGCAAAGTCGCACTGATGTACGTCACCGCAACTTGACGTTCGCCTTGTCGCTTCCAGTAAGGTTGTGCAACGATGTGCGGACTCGCTTACCGGTCTAATGTTGCGCTTGACGCCGGTCAAAAAATCCGGCCCGCAGTAAATACAGCCGAGACGCAAGGCGACCAGTCTACAGCGTATTTCGAGCTGATTCCAGATCATGCGCGTCTGATATATCTTTATCGTGAAGTTTATCTTGAACACGGTCGTTTATCTTGAACACGGTCTTTTAATGCACGCAGAACTCGAGGAAATGGACCAGGATTTCAGAGCCGTCCAGTTCATCGTGCCGAAGGGCCATCAGGGCGGAACCGTGCGACATTGCCCCCGCAGGTGGATCAAGTACAGCTTGATGAGTGAGCGTCCCGGGTGCCGTGGTGGCGAGTCGAATTCAGGCGCACTTTGTGTAAAAGAGGTCGCAGAAGAACGCCAACACGTGGACCGGACTATACACGCGCTTCCAGTGGTCGAGCAGGCTCTCAGTAACAGGCTCACCCCCGTTGTCGTAGTCAGGATTTACACCATTCAAGTGGTCTAGCATGTATAAAGGGCATGAGAAGATGGTCCTTATTGTCGCCGAGTCGGGACGGCGCGCCGACGGGATTTCAAAGCGGATTACAAAGTTTAACGGAGAGGGCGACGCCTTCTTAGAACCGATGTCTTCGCGTGATATCGGCGATGACAGAGAGCAGCAAGAACAACGGATCGATATTGAGCTGCTTTTCTCATTTCGGAATACCAATGGTATCATGGGTACGGTCCGCATGAAAGTTGGAAGGCGCTATACTTGTTATTTTCGCTGCTGAATTTAAAATCATGACCAGCGCCACACCAAGCGACCTTGCAGATGATGGATGAGATTTTGCGTTATGGACCCTGGTATTAAACCGCACTAGCTTGAATTCGGCGTGTTCGAGAAGTATCACAACTGTTCCACTTTTAGCAACACTCGACCTGGTTGTTTATTGGATGGGCGGCGCATTCGTACGAAAAGTCGACCACATTCTCCTTTACAAACAAATGTCGCAGACAACACATTTAGTTGCACAAGTCCGATATGAGCCCATTCACGACTTGCTGACCAACTGAGTAATGCAATGCGACGATTGATGCCTTTAAATTTACCAGCAATTCATCGACCGACTCCTTCTTGATTCCGCCGGCAGGTTCTACTAACCAGGGCCGGGGCGTGTGCGCAATTTTTTCGTCAGGACGACGACAAGACATCAGTCGTGCCTACCATTCCAATGATCACGTCCGCCGCTGTGCGCAGGTACTAAAACGCCAGCTGCATTTACATATAATTCGATCAAGAAGCGGATGAAAACGGCATGAGAGGATAGCAGACGTTTTCCAAGGACGGCGAGGGAGAAGAATGCCTGTCACGAAGGGAAATCAAAAACACTGATTGACGTAACAGTCTCATGAATTGCGTTCGATAAAAGAGTGTGTTCAGCCTGGCCTTGTCCTTGCGTGACCACAGAGGGTACGCTTTTGCAACGAGAAGGTCGGCGATCAACGTTATGACGGGCTGTTTCAGGTCATGGTGCAAAGACTGGAATATTCCGGTGTACTAGATGACGATACGACGATATGCAAGTAGCATACCAAGTGTGGCCGCTTCTGCACTTCCTCAGGTTCATTTTCATGTTCTCACTTAAGGCGGGTACATTCAAAGCGCAGTGATTACATGCGACACGTAGGGCATTGTGCTGGCCGTTGTTTTCGACGTAATCGGACTCGGCCTACTCAACACCGAACTTAAGTCCTTTAGGATTAAAGTGCGTGGGCGTGGCATCGTTGAGCTGGACTTGGAATTTACGCCAGTGGAATGGCATACAGTTTAACCTACAAAGGGAAACGGTAATCCCCCTGATTTTCGTTAATTAACCTACTCCTTACCCAAATTTTACTATTTACGCCTTTCTGATTGGTAAGATTAAATACTTTACCGTTCTCAGAAGTTATTTACAAAACCATTTTTCGAATAATAATTCCCCCGAATTTGGATATTCTATGCATGTCTTCATGTCGGCGACGTAAGGTAATTAATTCATAAGCGACTACATTATACCCAGCAATGGCCTGTCAAATGCAAGAACGGCAATAGTGCGATCGATAGCGGCGGTGTTGTTTATAGACCAAAATTACAAGGAAGCAAGCTTTTGAGCTAATCGACTGGAGCGTGTGTTGCCGTATTGCTCAAGCTTGACGCTCCCGTAGCTGGTTGAGTGGTAGGAAGATCAAATAAGATTTCGCGAGTAAGCAAACGCAGCTTCATTCTCGTAGTCTACAACATGTCTCTTCAATCCTTGCATTCTTCGCGAGACATTTGCGATTTTAAATAAAAGCAAATAGTCATGACGACATCAAGCAAGTACCGTCCTAAGGATTCGCAACAGCATCCATCAATTTGTTTTGTGTAGCTCGGAGACTGTTTGGTCCATAGTGTCGGGCGAGTCCGAAGCAGCCCCGACTAGGCGTATTTTTCTAGGTACTAGCTTCAACTCACATTATACGGTCTTCTAAGGCGGACTCTTCATTAATGGTTTAACGCGCACCAGAAGGCCTTCACCGCTGTACTATATCAATGGTGAGATCGTGATGTACCCAAATTTGTAAAACAGCCTAGCACAAATCATCAACTGTGGAAGCGGATAGAGTTGCGGTAGCCACTGCAAATAGCCATGCTTTTCCTATATTGTGGATCATTTGACGAGATTGGTCAGGTCAGTCAATAAGCTTTTCTAAAGAAATTGTTTCCAGCGCTAGCTCAGTCTCCTGAGAAACAGAAAGAACTACCACCCGCGACGACAACTAGAAGACATTAGAAAATGATAGATTCAAGCTGAACGCCCGAGTTGCTCGCAGAATCAAACTTTGCTCCGGTATCGTCAGCCATAGGAATTTTGTAAGCCACGTGATACTTGATATTTGACGCTGGGAGCACTAAGTGGACCAAGAAATTACCGCACATGCATACTGAGGTTGTGCATCGCAAAAGTTTTATCACGCCTGAAACAAGATACGTACATCGTGTAGAAGTGATTGCAACTGTTGGTTGCTCTGAATACCAACTTGCCGATTTCGAAGTCGACACGCTTGAACTTTTTAGGTCGATCTCTGAGCACTCAACAAAACAGCATAAAGTCGTACTTTTTGCCAGGACACCTAACAGTAATCAGGTCGCGCCTATCAAACCCCCTTGTTACCATAATTTGCTCGCTTATCAATGCACTATCCAATAAAAGTTGGATCGGACGCCTTGCACGAAGCTTTATGCACAGAGAAGACATGCAAGTACATCACATCACGCCTTTTCGGCGGAACAAGCGCTCCACTCGACTCAAGTGCTACTTCATGTCCCGACTTAAAGACATGTATATAAAATTCAGATTTGGTTTTTTATCATTTGTAAATAAAATTGTAAATTACTTCTGAGCTCGGTGATATTCTCAATCCTGCCAATCAGAAGGCGTAAATCGAGTAAATCACGGTCATTGCGGGTCCGAAGGGTGAAGCTATCTGTGACTGTGCGCAAGGTTGATTGCCGATCTTATAGAACGCACTTATCTGTGTGTGGCTTAGTGTCTGCACAAAACATGGTTAGGTGTACGTTACACCTACTAAGTGCGATCTAGCCTTTCTCCCGAATAGGTAAATGTATGTTCGAAGTCACCCTTGGCTAGGTCACTATTTAAAAGCATGGACGTGATTGGCATAAAATTAATTAAAGGAGAACACGATCATGTAAGCAAATGCTCGACGCCATCAGCAATAAGCAAAGGCCGATCGCGTTGCTTAAGTTTACTGTACTGGTTAGTAGAGACATTTACAGCATCATACACATTCTTCAGTGACTGCTGCTGTATAGTGCTTTTTAACATGATTCAGTTCTCCTAACTGATGTACTTTTATCAAAGGGAGCGCCCCAGAGCTTGCTCTCCTATCTTAAATTGGTAGGGGTGGTGGTGAACGAAAACTTGGGGGGGTGACTAACGTTTTCCAGTATATAATGTTCTTTCTCAAATCTAACATTTGTTTAAAACGTGTGCTATAATGAGTCTCATTTGCAACGTTTCTAAAGAGGACAGGCTACATTGCACTTAGTAGGTGTGAGGTACACCTAACCGGGTTATTTTTTAACAAAAAGAACAGACACAGATAAGTACGTTCTAAAAGTATGGCATTCAACCTTGCGCACAGTTAGTGATAGCTTCCCCCTCCTGGCTTGCAATGATCTCAAGAGACCAGATGTCTATTTGGTGCCTTTAGATACGCGCCAGCTACCGCAGCGAATCAGCCGATTTATTAAAGACAAATTCGAATTGCTGAGCGTGTTGTTGTCATCTGAAAGTCTGATTGAAAGTGATACAATGACTTGCCTCATTATTTTAAACGGCAGCGTAATTATTTGTCTTTCAGCTGTTAATGATCGAAGAGATCGGAACACTCTTGTCTCATTGATAGTCACGGTAGCACCTAACGACCGATGCATTGTACCACATGTTGACGCATCATAGATGGCTGCACGACATTTAGTATTTATGTGCAGTGTTAAGTGAGGTTGCTGGAGCATCGCTTCTTTTGGCCGTAATCGTCCCCGCTTTTGCATAAAAAGCTGTCGCAATTATAACGGATAATTCTCCGTTGGCTATTTCCTTCCAACTAGTGCTAGAATTGCTTTCTGGACGCAAGATTACATATACATTGCAAGTACTCTGTGGAGACTTTTTGCCCAGCTGACGTGATTGCGTAGTTCATATACCAATGCCGCTCTTGCAGCTCATACTCACCCACTCCATTTTATCTAAAGGAATTAGTGCAAGACAAATGATTGCTGCGTCTAATGACAAGAATTGCCTTTCACAATGAACCAAACGTTGCTACAATGTAATTGCGGTGCTGCCACAGGGCAACAGCTCTTAGGACATGTAGAACAGTTGTTGGAAGTAGCGCTGACGTCTACAATCCTACGGTCAAATGTCTTGGGTTGTGCATCCAGAGCTGCAACGTTTATTTGATACGTTTCTTCGTAACGACTTCAGGAAGATGAATTCCATATCGAGCTAGTGTTTCAATAAAGTAGAGTCTTGAATCCAAGTTGAAGCCGACCTACATGTAATCCTCAATCTGTCAAACGTGTGTACTTGTTATCATCTCAGCTACCGCGTCAATCCATCCTGTTTCAACTAATTACCACGATGAAATTCGGGTACATGGCCGAGGTCTTACAAGGTACAAAAGCGTACCACTTTTTGCCTCGTGGTTTTTTTTGTCGCTGAGTGTCGACTCATCAGCCGATGTGTCAACAGACCGGCAATAAGTACCTGACCAACTGACGACGAGACTTTGATATTCATTGACTGACCGACTGACGACGACAATTGTATCAAATCCAGGAAGAGACAGGCCGTTGACCGACGACAATGTCGTGTTATTGATTTTTTATCAAATCACAGAGTTGTAACGACTGATCCGATCGAATTGACGAACCACAACATCGAAGAATACATAGGGATCTGTCGAATTCTGGATTGTCCGTGTGTCTTTTCCACGCTGTTTGTTCAAATCGTTGTCGTCACTTTCACTTTAGTGTCGAACTTGCTGTGTCTTACGTGAGTCTAATTTCTACCTCGCTCGATAGAAATGCAGGAGCACGTCCTGCAGCGCGTGCTACTGGAGTGGCTCAAGCTCGACCCTGTCGCAACTCCCTCGCCGTGTCGAGCGCTGTGGCCGCACTGGACCGATCAAGATAAGCAGCAAGTGAAGCTCCGCGTGCTCAGCCTCAACGCCTGGGGTCCGTGTTTTTCCTCTGTGCTTGGCTTTTGCAATTAGAAAAAAGTGATAGAAACGTGATAGGAATGCTCGCTCTGTAATGTCCATCCAGGTTTGCCTGTAGCCCCCAAGTGCACGGAGCGCGCCGTGAATATCGCCAATGCTATTTCTAATGCCTATGACCTGGTTGTGCTGCAGGAAATCTGGCACGTTCGCGAACGGAACTTGATCATTGCTAAAGCTCAGAAGAATGGATTCCATTACTACCACTACTTTAATTCCGCTGTGGGGTTTCCATTTCCAATGGGTGCCGACTCATTTGGCACGGGACTGTTGGTCTTGTCGACGTTTCCCGTCTCAAGTGCTCTTTATCACTCTTTTGGGCTCAGCGGACGGCCGTACGCCCTCCACGAGTCGGACTTTATTGCGAATAAAGGTGTGGGTTTGCTCCGGGTCGAAACCCCTGCAGGACAAATTGATGTGTACGCGACGCATTTGCTGGCCAACTACAATAGTCGAGGAGAACCGGGGCCAGGTGATTTCTATCAATCGCATCGAGTCGGTCAGAGCTACGAACTTACGCAGTTTATCTTGGCGACAAGTCGCAGCGACTTGACGATTGTATGTGGCGATTTTAATTCGTCGCCGGACTGTTTGGAGCTAAAAGTGCCGCGACAGTTGCTGTGTCTTCGAGACGCGTATACCGACACGAACGATGATGAAAATGGATTAACGTTTGCGTCGCCTGACAACAAGTACTCACATGGTGAACATCCAATGCGGATGGATTACGTCATGTATAGGATCAATCGACAGCACGAGCGCGAGTCGAATTGGCACTTGGTGAAAAGCAGTATCTTTAAGGAATTTTTCATTGATGCTAGAGGGGACACGACGCCCTTGTCGGACCATTTTGGAGTCAGTGCCGAGTTTGTGTTTAGTGAAGCACGACCACACATTTGTGAACGAAAGGCGGTGAACGCTGAGGTGCTACCCTTGGACGGAAAAGGATCTCTGAAGGCGACAGTAGTCGCTCATTCTTGTCCGACTACAACATGCTCTTACTGTGACAAACAAGAGCAAGATCAGAGCGAGGAGGAAAAGGCTGCAGCAGATGTCGCGTGCCTTCGAGAGGTACTGAATATGTTGCTCGTTGGTCGCAACGGGGCGATTATGGCTCGACGAACTCGGCTTTGGCGTGCTGTGGCCTTCTTCGCAGCAGCACTTGCGGTATGTGTGACCCATGTGATGTCGATCATGGTGTCAAGGTGGTCTTGGGCAGCCGTACTGCTGTTCGGCATAATCAGTGTGGCCGAGTACATCCTGACGTTCTTCTTTCTCACATTCGAGTGCTCGACGTTCACTGAACTCACAAATGAAGTGCAATTGGATCTTCACGTGCACACGCAGCGAAAGAGTGAGAGGCTTCGAGCGAAAGCGCGCAAGGCCTGACGAAGGATAAAGCAGACTAGTCACCACATGATCTTTGGTGCCACGTGTCTGTATGCACGTTAAGTGAACGCAGCAGGCCCGTGGACGGTCAAGAGCATTTTTTCATAAAATACTACAGAGTCAACAGCGATGGGATCTGTAGTAGCTTCATGCTCGTGACGATCCCAAATGAATACTATTCGTTATAGACGACGTAAAGGATGCAGTGGCAGAAAGGAGGTATGAAACAGCTAACCACAGTCGATTTCGTATTATTTTTTCACGTCACTTCGTTAATGTAAACTTGTTGTTAAAAGTTAACAATGTTGTAGCAATATTTTCCGACATAGTTGAGTATAGCATGCACGCCAAACTGGCGAAGGCGTCAGTGCACCCGGAATGTTGTGCCAGCGAATGCAGTCTTTAAATCGATACATCGACTGACATATTACGCCGTCAGCGGCCATCTTTCATGCTTACCGTTTCGATCGCGAGATTCAGTAATGTAGGGGTCTTTATAGTGCACAGCAGACGCGTTCAATTTCAATTCAAGCCTAACTACAAGCTTACATAGATGCTGACATAAGCATAGGTGCAAAAGACAGAGGTCATAGGCAAAGGGGACACACGTAGTCGGGTACCTGGTACCCTGTGTCTTAGACACACGGATGATATCCCACTGAAAGAGATGTAGAGTATCTTATCGGTTTGTAGGGGCTGACTGGTGCAGTAACGGGGTGAATCGTTAAAATACAATTTATTAGAAATTGTTAATAGAATATAACTATAAGAGTTATATTCTCAGAATATTGTCATAAGGACAATATTCTGTAGCACTTACGAGTAGTTCCTGATTGGTTGATATAAGCCATTATATCAACCAACGAAGACGCGCCACGACAGACGCACGCAATGAGTGGTGAGCAGATAACTGATTTACACATTTGTATTTAGACATAGTTAGATGAAGATAAATAGTGATTTATTGCAGACATTAACTATTATAAATACAGTTCTACTTTTTACTTTAACCAAATACTCGCTTCTCCTTACCGTCTTCCTCTGCACGTACCAGTGTACGTGAGGTTACGCGGCAGCGACTTATTCTGTCGTCAGAATAAGTAGCTTGTACTGTCATCAGTACAAGCTTCAGGGTGCCCCGTTACACCTGGTAGCACTTCGTAGTCCGTCCAAGGACCACGTTCACATCTAACAGGAATATGTTAAATGATGAAGATGACCAAAGCTTTTACGCTACGCGTGACGGCTACTCCCATTTAAGCGATGTCGAATGGGATGCGGTTGAACGGATGGGTTCAACCATGGGCATCCATGCTGTTAGCGTCATGCTAGAGGCTCTCAATAGAGATGCCCAACATGCTACTATCGCCAAGTTCATATAAAATGAACTTGACGCAGAACGAGAGAAAGTAGCCTTGCTTCACCAACAAGGTTCTCAACAAGCAGAGTTGTTGAGAGAACAGGGTGCTCAACAGTTTGAACTGTTGAGACAGCAGCAGGCTGCTGCTGGTGGGTCGATGCATTCGCGTCGACCCGAGACCTTGAACATTGACATCTCCAAGTGTAGGGGAGTCGAAGAGGACTCCCTCTTGAGATGGTTCGTTGAATGGATGACGCCATAAAGGCGCGTCGCATCGACGACGGGGATATGCAAGTTGCATTTGCTCAATCAAATCTGGCAGGACGTGCCAAGACTTGGGCACTGGGGCTCAAGTTGCACGACCCATATGCGTTTGGGTCGTTGGAAGTCTTCAAGTCGCGGCTCAGACAAACGTTTGAACCGCCTAGAGCTGAGTTCAGAGCTCGAACTGAACTCTTGAAGCTCAAGAAAGGTAAGCGTGATGTGAACGCTTACGCGCAACATATACGACATCTTACGAGTTGTATAAGTTCCAATCCGGTTGATGAACACACGTTGGTTTCGGTGTTCATGCAGGGTATTGCGGATGGTCCCGTCAAGACTCACCTGTTCCGGCTTGAACTAGATTCACTAGAACAAGCCATTTCCATTGCGGAGCAGGAAGACTTCAGTCTGAGACAGTCTCGCGCCAGCTCGACATCATATCGTCAACCGAGGCGATGTGACAGCGGAGGTCCAGAGCCGATGGAACTCGGTTATGTAGAGAGCGAGAAGGCTCGCTCTACAGACTACAAGAAGTTGCAGAAATGCAATAGATGTCAAAAGACAGGACACTACGCTTACGAGTGTAGTGCCCCTCGTCCAGTGTCTCGCGACACTGGGCGTAGTGACCGTCCACCCATGAGAAAGGGGCAGGGACGAGGGTCCGCTGTTGGCGCAAAGACGCAACGACGGGATGGACCGTCAAAAAACGGACAGGATCAGTAGGTGCGGAGCACCCTACTGGTCCAGCAACGTCAAGAGAAGTTATAGGCCTCTTGATGAAGGTTGCTCCCAACACACAAACGTTGTGCGTTGCTGCTCTAGGTAATGAGATCTCACTCATTACCTTGAAACTCGAAGTGACGAATAAGTTGTCCCTTCGAGCTCTAGTCGATTGTGGGGCGTCCAACAATTTTTGTGCAACGCCGATAGCTAGAAGATAGTCACTTTAAGTTCAGTGAATGTGACACACCTTCTACGAGGATGACGGTACGTCTTGCGACAGGCACATCCGTAACCGTCATGAAGCGTATAGTGAAGATCCACTATACGCTAGAAGATAACCAATATGACGATGACTTTATCGTATTGGATTTGGATGACAAATTTGATGTCACCCTTGGAATACCGTGGCTCAGAAGGTACGAACCACGGGTAAACTGGCAACATCGAACAGTAACGATGCCTGCCGCTTGTTCATCAGATGGCCATCTGATGAACGTTTTGGAGTGTCCACAAGCGTGTGGATGTACTACGAGTGAGTGCGATGGCCTCACTTGTGGTACGGTCGTTAGTACGACTGCACAAAACCTTAGTGTAACAAACGGTTACACTTCGGAGCAAAGTTCCGGTGGCTGTGAGGAAACACAGGCTGCGCCGATGGTCCATCACTCGAATAAGTCGAGTGGACCGGGACAAAGATGTATCCCTGGTAGGGAACATCTAGAAGATAAACAACCGATCGCTCAGGTTAAGCGAAACGATAATCCTAGATCAAATGGAGAGTCTTTCGTAGAGGATCTCGCTGTGGTTGCGCGACCACAGCTAGAGGAAGTAAAGGGAATAAGTCCCAAGATTACAAATAAGGCGGAAATAAGTTCCCGAAACCCGCGGGAATAAGTCCCCGGGAAGCCGAAGGAATAAGTCCTTCGAGGCCTGAGGGAATAAGTCCCCAGGAAATGACAGAGATATTGAATGTCATAGTCAATAACGGATCAAGTGTAGGCGCTTATACACTTGATCTGATTGCGCCTCCGAAGTTGACTTCGGAGATCACTCAGTTGCCAACGCTCGAACATAAAAGGTTCTTGCGTGATCTGCGTAGTGGCAAAGTCAAGCAGATCTGCGTACTCGTCGCTGACGACGAGTGTGTAGCCGACACAAGATCAGCAACAGTGTTTACTGAGAACGAGAGAGTTCTCAGTAGTTCATTTATGGACGAGAGTGTCCTAGATGAAAAGACACGAATTGAGCGATATGGCTACCAATCGTGGGAATCGCTCAAGAAAATCCTCTCTATGAAGATTTGGTTGAATTCAAGGATGTATTCCCTGAAACTGTTCCGTGCGAATTACCGAAGGATTAAGGTACTCGACACGAGGTCGAGCTTAAACCAGGCTCGAAGTACTGTGTCATGAAGCAGTGGCCACTGCCACGTGAACAAGTACTTGCGATCGACAAGTTCTTTGGCGATAGTTTAGCTGAGGGCCATGTGAGGGAATCAACTTCCCCACATAGGTCCCCGACTTTCTGTGTGCGAAAGCAACAGGAGGGTGGCGGATAGTGCATGCATTCAACAAGTTGAATGCTGCAACGGTACCGGCTCAGACGCCTATACCAAGGAAGGACGTCCTGATTGATGGTATGGCAAAAAGTACCATTTTTTCGTCCATGGATATGATGGATGAATTTTATCATTTCCTTATGCGAGAATGGGACATACCCTATACCGCAGTACGCACGCCCAGCGGCATGCTCTGGGAATGGCTAGTAATGCCACAAGGGCTTAGTAATACCCCTGCCACGTTCAACAGATGTGTATCTTATCTATTGAGATCAGTACGAGTATTCACGCCGAGTTATTTCGATGATGTATTCCTCCATAGTCGAGCTATGGATGGAAAGTCGGACGTTGAGGTTCACAGGTACCACGTCCGACAGGTTCTTACAATCATGCGAAAGCATCAATTGTATGCAAACCTCAAGAAGTGTATATTTGCAGCAAGCGAAATACCACTTTTTGGGTGCATCGTTGGTCAGAACAGTGTACGTCCTGATCCCGAAAAGATCAAGGCGATCACCGACTGGCCTGTGCCGGTTGATGTCAAAGGTCTTCGAAAATTCATTGGGCTAGCGGCGTATTTGCATAAGTATTCACGCAATTACGCCGAGATGACTGTGCACCTCTCTCGTTTGTTGAAAAAGAACGAGAGGTGGTTATGGAACGCTGAATGTCAGCGCTCCTTTGATGGTATCAAGCAGAGCTTTATACAATCCCCAGTCCTGGCAATAGCCGATCAGGACAGGCCATTTCATGTGGTCTGTGATGCCAGCGATTTCGCAATCGGCTGTGCATTAATGCAGTACGATGTTGAAGGCGTTGAACGCGTCGTCTGCTATCAGTCGTGTCAGCTGCAACCAGCTGAGCGGAACTATCCAGTGCATCACAAGGAACTCCTTGCCATGAAGTATGCACTCGCGAAGTTCAGAGTCTATCTATTAGGAGATAGACCCTTCATTGTTCACACTGACCATGCGTCATTACGCACGGCAGTGAACAACCCGCACCTTTCACAACGAATGGCGCGGTGGTTGTCATTCTTCGCAGAATACAACTTTAAGGTCGAGTACAAACCAGGACGACTTAATGTCGTCGCTGATGCACTCTCACGTCGTCCCGACTTTGAACCAGTCGTGAAACCCAACAGTGAGACAGTCACTGTTGCGGTTACGACGTCCTCAGTCCCATCTACAACGTTGTATGATGATGTGAGGCGGGCATACGCCCAAGATGGTGAGATTGTGAAGTTTTTGACACATCTCTCCCAACCATCCCGATAATCGTTGAACGATTGTCGTCTGCGTATCAATCTGCATCAGATCGATACACTACTCGCAACGGTTTACTGTATTATACAGCCGTTTCTGGTGACACACCACGTGTTGTCATTCCAGATGATACTGATCTGCGTTTGCGGATCATGTTCGAGTATCACGATGCTCCTATAGGAGGACATCGTGGCCGAGAGAAAACATATCTCACGGTAAGTCGAGACTTTTACTGGCCCCGCCAGTACCAGTTTGTGCGAAAGTATGTTCGCGCATGCGAAGTCTGCCAACGAGTGAAGTCAAGTCCTTCACTGCGTGCACCTTTACAGCCTCTACCAGTTTTGGCAGAGTGCTGGGAATCCATCTCAATGGATTTCGTCTTCGGGTTACCCAAAGACGCACGCAAGAATACGGGTATTCTAGCATTTGTTGACAGATTCAGCAAAATGGTACACCTTGTGGCTGTACCCGAGACAATCACGGTTAGTGGCTGTGCTTGTGTCTTTATTGACATCATATTCCGACTTCGTGGGTTACCCCTTGAATTCGTATCAGACAGATGTCCACGCTTCACTGCTGATTTCTGGCGTTCCGTGTTCAAATCACTCGGAACGCGCTTGAAGATGTCGACATCTGATCATCCCGAGTCAGATGGTCGGACGGAACGTGCCAATTGAGTCCTCGAAGAGATACTTCGAGGATACGTGAACTCCATAAAGAGTTGGAGTGAGTTCTTGCCAATGGTAGAGTTTGCCATTAACAACTCGATGCATGCGTCCACGACACATACACCGTTTTGCGTGAATGGCTTGCGCCATCCGCGTGTACCCACCTTACTAGAGTGTAACTCTTGTTTAAAGGGTGGGAGGGACTCGCGCGAGCAAAAACCGATTTGGTTCACGCTCATCACGCTCTGACGAAGAGGTCATTGCGTTTGATGCCGATGTAGACAACATCGATATCGAAGAAGATGATGCCATTGAGAGCGAGGAAGCCCTCACTGAAAAAAGATTGATGTCGCTGCATGCACTCACAGCGCACTGAGGCTAACGAGTCAGCAGATGAGTTCATACTGGTTCGTGAAACGGTAGTCCGTTTTGTGCAAGACTCCATCGCCGAAGCAGTGGATAAGCAAAACGCAGACAAAAATGGAATGGCAAATACTCTCTTATTTAATAAAGGTGACTTAGTCCTACTGTCTACGGTTAATCTACCAAAGCACGTAGTGAAAAGCTTGGGTAGTAGTTTACTACTACCCAAGTACATCGGCTCATTTCGTGTATTGCTTCGCCTAGGCAACGCGTACACGATCGAACTGCCACGTAAGATGCGAACGCATCCCACGTTTTACGTTGGTCGGCTTAAGCCGTACCATCAGTACGCTGCTTCTTCCGATGAAGAACGCCCTTGCGCTCAAGCATCTCGCAGAGAGCCTTGTGCTCCCGATGGTGGGCATCGACAAGGGTCTGAAGAGCGGTTATTTCATCCCGAGACCGATCAGCAATCCCACGAGCTACCCTTAACTCGTCACGAAGAGATGTCAGAGATCTCTCGTTCTCAAGCTGAGCATAGGCGAACTCAGCTCGATGCTTCGAGACAGTGTCCGCCATTTGGAGACGCCTGTCCCGCTCATGTTCAAGATCGTTGCGTAACCCTTGCGTTACGCGATCAAAGAAGATCTCGGAAACACACGGATCCCAATGATCGTGTGGAGAGCGTCTTTCCTCCTCCTCCACCTGCATTAGAGGACTCTCGCGGTGGCCAGCGCTATCTGGTTGAGCAGCTGTTGAACCACCGCGACGTGAACGGACGTCGGACGAGTTATCTTGTCCGGTGGCGCGACTATCCTCCGTCCTGGGATACTTGGGAGCCCCGCTCCCAACTGATAGTTGACGTACTGGGTCTGGTTGAGCAGTACGACGCGGCACATCCTGTGCCGCAGAAGGACCGCCGGAGAAAGTCTTCCCGGCACGTTCGTAAAAGGATTTCAGGTTGTCAATCCCTTCGTACATCTCAGTAGAGACACGTACGCGCCACCACGGGCTGGTAAGGAGGTAAACCTCCTTAGGTGCTCGTGCAGAGTTGTTCACACAACATGGGCACGAGTCTCCCCAAGAAAGGCAGGGTAATCCTTTCTCCCTTGACAGACGATGCAGCTTGTAGCGTGCACCTGTCGGGGTTCGCTTTTCAAACTTATCACGAGCTTTGATAAGTTTGTCGTTCCAAGCGTCACGACCTACATCCTCGAGGTTATGGATGTAGGCGTTCCACGCCTGAAGTAGTGAGGGACCATCACGTTTGTGATTCCCACTGTACCATCGATGTCTAAAGAAAGCATCGATGAAGAATTCATGTTCAGCGCGATAGCTTTTCGAACTGGGGTCAAGGTGATGGATCCTTGACGAATCGAACAATCGTGTTCGATAACGATCACTCGTCGTCGCCGACAAGCGATCCATGACCGACTTTGGAGGCAGCCATGTATTCATTTCGGGAGTGAGACGCAAGACATTGCGGTCCCGCTCTTCCTGCGATGTGCCGACAGAAGTAATGACCCCTTACTGTGAAGTGGTGTCAATAGGAGAACCGACACCACTGTTAGCGCCCGAGTCTCGTGACCTCGAGCGCCTTCGCTTCGGCGATGGTTCATCTGATTCAGCAGATGAACCAAAGATGCTGCGACGCAAAGCATCATCCATGCCACGCTTGGCAGGCGGCTTAGAGTCAATCGCCGTCGATACGGATCCGTCTTTCGTATCAGGAGAGTACGAGACACCGAGCTCATACTCTGTGAAGACACGAGTGTCTTCAGGATGAGGGCCTGCATCACCAGTTGATACAGACTGAGACGCTTTAGCAACAGAGGACACATCTGTTGCTGCGGTTTCTGCTTCGGCGTCTGCACAGAGACATGCAGACGCGCTCTCGGCGGCCTTGCTCGTGCACCGCAAGGGCTTTTAACCATGCGATGAATTGCTGGAAAGTGGACCCGGACCAACAAGTGCAAACCCTGTCCCAAATGATTTAGGACGAGTATCCATTTAGTCTATCAGTCACTAAAGTGACTGATGGTTAAGGGGGGTGATGTAACGGGGTAAATCGTTAAAATACAATTTATTAGAAATTGTGAATAGAATATAACTATAAGAGTTATATTCTCGGAATATTGTCATAAGGACAATATTCTGTAGCACTTACGAGTAGTTCCTGATTGGTTGATATAAGCCATTATATCAACCAACGAAGACGCGCCACGACAGACGCACGCAATGAGTGGTGAGCAGATAACTGATTTACACATTTGTATTTAGACATTGTTAGATGAAGATAAATAGTGATTTATTGCAGACATTAACTATTATAAATACAGTTCTACTTTTTACTTTAACCAAGTACTCGCTTCTCCTTACCGTCTTCCTCTGCACGTACGAATGTACGTGAAGTTACGTGGCACCGCCTCATTCTGTCATCGGAATAAGTAGCTTGTACTGTCATCAGTACAAGCTTGAGGGTGCCCCATTTCAATAGCTGCGAAAGAAGTAGCTGTTTAACCGCTTTTGAGAGATTTATTAACGAAAGGATATCAAAGCAGAACCAATTTCTTGAAGCTTCCACCGAATCTAAGTTTCTCCATAGGGTATCAGTGGGGACCAGGATGCGTGCGTTAATTATCCCCATATAAAGAGAACCTCGAGAAATAGCCTTATAATGGTAGCTTGCAGTCGTCGTCACCTTATTCATCATCCTGATTGTGATGGAGTCTATTGACTTCGGTCGAGGCTGCACAGCTGGCAATCTAGCTACCTTGGTTTGAGTAGATCGCGCAGAACACGCGTAGTATAATAACTATACAGTACTACAAATGCATCGGGGGTTGAAGATAATGTATCGGGTGCCTACGATACATAAATGCAACATACGGTAATATTGATGAGGAATTTAATGGTTAGACAAGCATCAAATTTTTACAATATTAACTTAACAAGAAAATTGTGATACAGAATTACTACTTGTTGATTGATCATATATATGATTGTTATCGACCGATAAAACATTGACACACAGAATAATACAATATGTGGTCATCAAATCGTCACAACAATTTTTTGTTTTTAGGTACAGGGAGACATTGGACATCTACCTTCCTTGCAAAATATACCCACTTATTCACACTTAAGATGCTCTGATAAGACGTAAAGAAGAAATGCAATGAATCTTAAACAAATGTTTTAGATATGGAATGATACCGAACACTTTTGTCCACATGCTACGCAATTATCAATGCACATTTAGAATCAAATGACTTTATTGTAGCAGAGAATCAGTAATCACCTTTTCATAGCATCTGCTGTACCCGATGACGTGTACTTGTAAATTTGAATGGATGTCCTGTAAATTGCTAGTCTGAGCGAGGGGTAGCTATCTTTAAATATAAACTTGCCACTACAATTAATTATACCAATTAACAATTCGTTTTATCTATCATTATGTTATATTCAATCTCATCGCTTTTTCATTCTGTTGGGATAAGAACTCATGCTTTACAAAGGAAAAACCATACCATTGCTATTGCACAAGTGCGTTGATCAAGTCGCAAATTAGCTTCTGATGTGCACTTAAAGCCGAATGAATGGTTTTTACTCTAATAGCAATTTATTTCAGTGACCAGCAGGCATTTGACTAGAATTTCAACTACCATTTCGGTAGTCTCAGTGACCCATTGTAGCGTAATATTTCTGGCCTTCACCTCTTAGTCGACGTACGCAGCTTTCCGGGTTCGGGGCTTGAGGCCCAAGAAAAACCTCAAATCTACCCAGATGCACCACTGGGCAAGTAATACTTGGTTATCTGCTACCAAAATAAACAACTGGCACTGGATCCTAGCGAAGTCATCGCGGCCTTGAGGGAGTTTCCTCCCTAAGTATCGCATAAGTATAGCGAATGGACAAGCAATTTAGTTTACCGTTCAACAATATTTATGAGGGAGTTTTCTACACTTTCCTTTTATTAAATCAATCACAGCATCATGAGTGTGAGGGAATAAATAATTCTGGTTAGGGGTGTCAAACCCTTATCGCCACCCTAAGATATAATAAAGGAAGATAGAAAGGTTATTTAACAGGAGATTAACAATACCATCTACAGCTCTACATTACATCATTGTTGGTATCGATGTTATCCTCTGCACGACACGTAATCGCAAAATTTAGACACCTACTTACAACGTGTTCAGTGCAAGCAGCTTGTAGTACGTTTCAAAATATTTAGTATTTTGCATGAAAAAGCGGAAACTTTCGTCAAATTCACGAGACCTACCATTATTTATTAAATTGAATGGAATTTTCATAGAACGATTAAGTTTGACGATAGATAAAGATGCCATTGGCGCAATTCTGTACGCTCTGTGTCCAGACGTACCGACCCCAGTGGCCGAATGGTAGACCACTTAAACTAAGATCGGGAGGTACTTGGATCGATACTCTGGTGGGGAGTTTGATTTCAGGGCGCCGGAGATAGACTAAAATTGGGACGAGCACCCATTCAATAGGTGGCTGTCCCGCCAACCCGCACTTCAGTGTGTGATAGTTAGGTGGGCTGGAGGCCACCTAGGCCAAAAATCTTCGAAGTGTAATGAAGTGTGCGGAATCTCTGAGGAGTTCAAACTGAGTCACAGTACTTTCAGATCACACAGGGTGGTGTGAAGGTTCGTGCGACATAAATCATTATGTCCAGACGGGCAACACGACACCTTCTCCAAAAGCTCTTCACATAAATTTAGGGCCTAATGAATAAGGTAGTCTGAATTCAGCAACAAGATTTTCAACATACAGATCTCTTGAGAGAACAGAGCGCTTGGCAGATAAATCCGTAAAGGCAGAAACAGGATGCTGCAACCGGTCCAACACACACACATCAACCCATGATATATACAGACATCTCCAAATATAAAAAGCAACTAAGAAACAATCTCCTGTTTAGGTGTTTTGTAGAATCAGATGACGCCATAACGGCCCGTCACATTGTCAACAGGCAATTGCAGGTCGCATTTACTCAATTAATAGGGCATGAAGTGAGTTGGATTGGGCCTTGGTCTTCAAGACACATCACCATTTTTTAGTCTTCGATCGTTAAAAATTCTTTAAGCAACTACCTAGCCAAACATTAAAGCTATTTTTACGAGCTGAGTTCAGTGAATCCTCTCTGAACACCTACATATCAACCTAGACAAAATGATATGCAATTGTACATTAAGTACATACGTCACCCTCACGCTTTGCATCACGGCCAATTCGCAGGGTCTTATAGACGGTTAAGGCATGACCAATATATTTGCGTTAGGATTATACCCAAGAAGAGATAATAAGAATTGCGGAACAGGAAGAATTTAACGTAAACTTTGTTTACAGTGATTCAAGTTCCTATTGTTTGTCAAGATGAAAAAGAAAATGGAGACCCAGAACCGAAGGATTTCTTATAAACTGAGAGTGAGATCGCTTGCGCTACCATTAATAATTATTTGCAGACATGAAATAGGTGAAAGGCTGGAGCATTGTGCATACAAACGCAATGCCTTAAACGCCGTACCACGTACAGCAGGAACAGTTACCGTTAGACGGTCAAAGAGGGTCCGAGGCGTGGGTCCGACGCTGTTGCAATAACGCAACAACTATAGAATTGTTTAAAAATCATCAGGGTCATTATATTCGGGGAAACCTCTACTATTTTAGCAACGTCAAGCAAATTTATCGACCTCTTGACGACAGTTGCTCCCAATACTCATGCAAAGTGTGTAGCTACCCTGGTAATGAGGTCTCCCCTCTCATTACATAAGCATTCATAATCGCAAATAAATTGTCGAAAGATAACTTGTCAATTGTAAGGCGTCAAATCACTTTTACGAGGCCAGTCGCGTAATGAAAGGAAATATAAATTTATTAATTGCGAGATGCCACCAACGAGGAAGACAGTTCCACTCGCGAGGGTGGGGGGTGCAACGGCAATAAAAATTATAATGCTTGTCGTATCAAATAACTTGCTCACTAACATACTTAAGCATGACGATAAATTCATCGTCATGGACCTTTATGCAAATACTTTTTCTCTCTGGTTGACTACAACATAAAATGTAAAATCCAATAGTAACATTGTGTCGAAGAAGTGACGATACGCCTGCCGCGTAATCATCATACGGTCTTCGCACTGAACGTCTATCGACTTTCACCAGCAAATGATTTACTACACATGACTGTGATGGCCTTATGTGTGGTTAGGTCGATCGCACGAATGCACAAGATCGCAATTTGACTAAGGATATTATTGCGAAGCAACGTTTTGGCAAATGCAAAACAACGAAGGGAGTGTCGAAGGCCCACCACTCGAATAGGTTCATCGTACCGAAGCATGGTTGTTCTCTTAGTATGCAAAACCCAGATCATTACGGAACCGTTTGCCATCGGATGTCATTACAGATTTGGAAAGGCCTAACATTCTAGATTCGAAGGAATTTGTCCCCATTTTACTATAAAATCAAAATACATGAGATAACAGAGACATTTCATGTTCTAATAGAATGACCGATCAAGAATAAGTAGTCATACACCTATCCGATCGCTCCTCCGAATTTGACTTCAGAGGTCACCAGTTACCTTCGCTGAACCAATAGAATTTTAGCGTGATCTGAGTACTGTCGGGGAATATGAGTACGCCATTTATATCATATTGGCAATGGTCTATCCCGATATTATAAAAAGTTTAAGTAGGTTAGGAATGAAGGAGAGAGGCCATGATGATAAACATTGGAATAAGCTATAAACGTC